AAAAAAAAAGGAAGAAATGAATGAGCTGATGCTGACTGAACTCAGGGAGGAAAATTTTTTAAAAAGACAAAATTATATTAAAATGGGAAAACAAATTTAAAAGGTGCCCAAAAGAACAGTGTTAAATACAAATATCATAAAGGGCAAAGAAAAAGCAAGAAAATTACCAAATGAGAAAAAAATTAAAGATGATCAGAGAAAAGTGGTTAAGTGAAAAACAGGTAAAGAAAGTCCTATATACATATAATTGGAGAAACTGAAAAGGAAAACAACATAATAAAAAAGGATATTTAAAATTATAATATAAGCACACTTTCTAGAAATCCACATACAGAGGATAAAGGGACACATGAGAAAAGTGACTCATAATGACCAACTCTGACATATATCTTAATAAACAAATTTTTAAAATAAGGAATAAGTCCAGAGCTTCTAAGAAAAAGATCAAATAGTTTATGGAAAACAGAATAAGATCAGCATCTGACTTCCCAAAGCAAGACAAAAAAACAAAGAATGGAACAGAAATTTTAAGAAACTGAAGAGAACTACTTCTAGCCATGATGGAGTAACAGGGGCAGGATTTACTCTTCCACCTTAATTTAAAAATTGGGCAAAATACATGAAACAACCTTTTTCAGGCATTAAACAATAGGCAGCACAAAACAGTGACCCTTAAAAAAAAGGGAAACAAATGAGAAAATTCCTAAAATTGGGCTAGAGGTCTTACTGCCTAGAGAATTTTCAGGCTGTAAGGTAGGGATGGAGAAACAAAAACAGCTTCACATTCTCCCTGACTTGAGAAGAGAGAGGTGCATTAGAGGAGGCCAAGATGTGGAATTCACAAGGTACAGTACCAATCATGAGAGAGATACCTGGAGAGGAGAGAACTGCACACAGAGAAAACTAGAGAAGTTCAGAGGATTACTTGCAAGGAGTCTTCAAGTGAGTACTGCTTGCCAAATGGATGTGAGAAACCACCTAAAGCTGGGGAAGCACAGGAATGGAATACGCAAAACGAACTTGAAGCTCACACAAGGCTGGGCATAGTCATGTTCAACCAGCCAGAGTGGAAAACTTTGTA